ATTTTAAAACAATAAATTATACAATTCTTTACACAGTCCCTCCATATCCACACAACAGAACTTAACATAGCCAAATGAAGTTGAATCATGCCTGACCCAGTAACTCACGCGTTTATTTATTTTTTTTCTATGTTTTCTGTTTTATTATGAAATAAATAAGAACATAGTGCATGTGAAATCATCCCTAAATTCTGACCTAGAGCACACAAACATTCTGTTCACTATTGAAACACTCTTAAACATTGAAAAACTCCATCACTATTCAAGACTCATGTAAACAATTGTTAATAAATCATTAATTGTTAATGACGAACAATTTGTAGCAGCCAAATTAATGTAAAATCAACTGAAAACATGAAACAAAACATACTGTTCCTCTGCCGTCGTCGGTCGAAATCCCAAGTGCCGTCTGCTTATATCGGTGAACCAGTAAAACCCTGAAAAAGAAACTCCGATTTCGTGTGTTTTCCAATCGAGAAGAGTCGTGTTGATCGACGAAGGGAGTCGACCGATTTCGTGTTGATCGACGGAGGATTTTGTTGGGCAGATAATTCGGTGTGTTTAGGAAATAAGATTAATCTACTGTATTATTATTAATATTAAATTACAAAATTAGTTTGACAAAATAAGGGTAATTTAGGAATATTATATTTTTACAGATTCATTGACACTTTTATAATAGTATAGATAACTTATGACTTATAGCTGAAAGCTATCTTATATATATGATAAAAATGTTTGATAAAATTAGCTGGAATAAAAAAATTAACTATATTATTTGAAAAACTACCTAAAAAAAGTTTAATAAGCTCGAGGTTTTAAAAAAATTCGTCCTACCAAACAAGACTTATTGAATACAGGGAACTTATAAGTTATAAACTAGCTTATTTGTCTACCAAACATAGTCTTAATCTTTTTCTTTTTTCTAAACATTTTGTAAAGGTTGTGACAAATGGACACATAATCCATTAATAAAATTCACATTAGATAACGTAATTCATTTTTTCTAAATTTTATTATTAATAAAAATAAACGATATAAATATAAAAAAAGTAAACTTACATATTAATTTGTCCATTGATGGCAATAATGTAATTTTTGTAAGGTTAATTGATTATGGCCAATTAATTAATTAAATTAAGTGTAAAATTATTATTATTATTATTATAGTAATTGTGTATGAAATTTTGAGGGGTTGATGCTTATCCCATAAACAATCGATTAATTTTAATAAATAAAACTTTTTTAATGAGTTGAAAAAAAAAATTAAATAAATAGTTTGAAAAAAAATTAGAGTAGAATGTCGTTTAATGTAACTTTATAATTAGTTACTAATAACT